GAAGAAGGATGGCTCGCATCGCATGTGTATTGATTACCGGGAATTGAATAAGCTGACGGTCAAGAACCGTTACCCGCTGCCGAGGATCGACGATTTATTCGATCAGCTACAGGGAGCATCTTGGTTCTCCAAGATTGATTTGAGGTCGGGCTATCATCAGGTGAGAGTGCGGGACGAGGACGTCCAGAAGACAGCATTCAGGACACGTTATGGGCATTATGAGTTTGTGGTGATGCCTTTCGGGCTCACTAATGCCCCGGCTGTGTTCATGGACCTCATGAACAGGGTATGTCGGCCGATGTTGGATCGGTCGGTGATTGTTTTCATTGATGATATTCTGGTATATTCGAGATCTAGTGAGCAGCACGAGGAGCATCTGAGGGAGGTGCTTGGGGTTTTGAGAGCGGAGAAGCTTTACGCAAAGTTCTCCAAGTGCGATTTCTGGTTACGGGAGGTCCAGTTTCTGGGACATCTCGTTAACCAGAAGGGGATATTGGTCGATCCGGCCAAGGTTGACGCAGTGATGAGGTGGGAGGTGCCGAGGTCACCTTCTGAGATACGGAGTTTTCTCGGGTTGGCAGGGTATTATCGGAGATTTATTAAGGATTTCTCCAAGATTGCGGTTCCACTCACCAGATTGACCCGGAAGGGCGTGGCATTTGCATGGGGTCCCGAGCAGCAGACCTCCTTTGAGACGCTTCGCCAAAGGTTGTGTGAAGCTCCAGTATTAGCCCTTCTGGAAGGCATGGAAGATTTTGTGGTATTCTGTGATGCGTCGATCCTAGGATTGGGAGCGGTATTGATGCAGAAGGGTCATGTGATAGCTTATGCATCAAGGCAGTTGAAGCCTCACGAGACGAGGTACCCCACTCATGATTTGGAATTGGGGGCAGTGGTGTTCGCCCTCAAGATTTGGCGGCACTACTTGTATGGGGTTCGATGTACGATTTACATGGACCATAAGAGTTTGAAGTACTTGATGGATCAGCCTAACCTAAATATGCGGCAGAGGAGATGGTTAGATGTGGTCAAGGACTATGATTGTGAGATCTTGTACCACCCGGGCAAGGCTAATGTGGTAGCCGACGCGTTGAGCCGCAGGGCGGAGAGCACTCCCCTGCGAGATGTATGTTTGAGATTGACCGTGATAGCTCCAGTTCTGGACGCCATTCGTGGGGCTCAGGCCGAGGCCGTGCGTCCGGAGATGCAGAAGAGAGAGCGGGTTGCTGGGATGGTTTCTGAGTTTGTATCGGATGGTCGAGGCCTTATGACTTATCAGGGCAGGATCTGGGTACCGTTTGTGGGCGGTACACGTGCTACATTGATGGAGGAGGCTCATAGATCGAAATTTTCGATCCACCCCGGGGCCACGAAAATGTATTTGGACCTAAGGAAGGAGTATTGGTGGCCCTGTATGAAGAGGGATGTAGCATGGTTTGTCGAGAGGTGTTTGACCTGTCGAAGGGTAAAGGCCGAACACCAGAGACCGCATGGCAAGTTGCAGCCATTGGAGGTGCCCGAGTGGAAGTGGGAACAGATCACTATGGACTTTATCACCAAATTGCCGAGGACTGCCAGAGGAGTTGATGCAATTTGGGTGATCGTGGATAGGTTGACAAAGAGCGCTCACTTTCTTGCCATCAGTGAGAGTTCTTCAGCGGAGAAGTTGGCGGAGGTTTACGTGAGGGAGGTTGTATCTCGGCATGGGGTGCCGATCTCGATTGTTTCAGACCGCGATGTGCGGTTCACTTCCCGTTTTTGGAAGAAATTTCATGAGGAGTTGGGTACTAAGCTGCATTTTAGTACCGCATACCACCCCAGACCGACGGTCAGAGTGAGCGGACGATACAGACACTCGAGGACATGCTTCGAGCTTGTGTTCTGGACTTTGGGGGTAGTTGGGACACGTATTTGCCTTTGGCGGAGTTTTCCTACAATAACAGCTATCATTCGAGCATTGGTATGCCACCTTTTGAGTTGTTATATGGTAGGAGGTGTCGGACTCCCATATGTTGGGGAGAGGTTGGGCAAAGGGTAATGGGCAGTACAGAGATCGTGAATCAGATGTCAGAGCAGATACAGCTGGTCAGGCAGAGGTTATTGACCGCTCAGAGCCAACAGAAGAGTTACGCGGATAGACGCCGGTCCAAGCTGGAATTTCAGGTCGGCGACTTTGTTCTCCTGAAGGTCTCTCCTTGGAAAGGAGTGATCCGGTTCAGGAAGAGGGGCAAATTGGGGCCCCGGTTTATAGGCCCGTTTCGTGTGATTGCCAGGGTAGGCCGGGTAGCCTATCGACTGGAGTTGCCAGCAGAGTTGGGGCAGATTCACAACACTTTTCATGTATCGCAGTTGAGGAAATGTATAGCCGATGAGTCGGCAGTGGTTCCACTTGAGGATATTCAGGTTGATGCGAGCCTGAATTATGCGGAGAGACCAGTGGCTATTAGGGATCGGAAGATCAAGGTTTTGAGGAACAAGGAGGTACCTCTGGTACTGGTTCAGTGGCAACATCGGAAGGGATCAGAGATGACCTGGGAGCCGGAGGATATGATGCGGGAGCAGCATCCGGAGCTGTTTTAGAGCGAGACTTCGAGGGCGAAGTCCAGTTCTAGTGGGGGAGAATTGTAACATCCGGATTTTTACCAGGTATAATGTAAGTTTAATTGTGTTGTTTTGTAAGAGGGACTCGGCGAGTCAGGGCTCAGACTCGCCGAGTAGGGACGCGGGTTTGAGCGAAGGTGCGCGCTTGGACTCGGCGAGTCTGCGCTGTGTTAAGAAACCCTAAATCCCCGGGTTTGTGGCCTATTTAAGGGGCCTTATGGCCGTCATTTGCGCTCATCCAACCCCCAGAGTGTGTCCCTAGAGTTCTTGAGCGTTTGGTGAAGGATTGAGAGCAAATCTTGACCTTGTGAGTGTTGTTTAGCAAGAAGAAGGAGGCTCTAGGCAAAAGGAGGCAAAGGAGGTTGCCATTTCGTGGATTTGGAGCTTGGATCATCACTTTAGAGGTAATATTTCGGACCATTTCCTGTTTGGTGAACTTGATGCAAGTTAGGGTTAAATATGATCATTTATGGGGTGATTTGGTGCCCTTTTTGTTCCCTCTTTGAGTTGAGACCATGGATCTGGATCCATAGAGGTCCAGGGGGCCTCACTCATCAAGCTTTATGGGTAAAAATGGAGTCCTTGGCCTTGTGTTGAAGTAATAGAGTCAAAATCATCATTTGTGATCATGTAGAGGTTATTCATGCATCAAGACTGGGACTTTACGTGCTAAGTAAGCATGGGGGGACTGGATCTATGGATTAGTGGACTGGATCTGGCCTTTAGAGCAAGATTGAGTTAGTGCATGGCATGGACTCGCCGAGTCCGAAGAACAGACTCGGCGAGTAGCTTGAATGTTACACGACCACTCAGCGAGTGGCCTCGCCGAGTTGGGATGAGTGAACCCAGTGGGTCAAGGGGGAGTCAGGATGGACAGGTGGACCGAGTCAAACCGGACTCGCCGAGTCGTTCTGGAGACTCGGCGAGTTGAGTCGTGGTGGCCCCACAACTCGTGCCAGGTGGAGCTCGTCGAGTTGGGAAGGGATGCTCGACGTGTCAAGAGAGAGTTTCAGGGAAATTGGTGATTTCGCTCAGACTCGCCGAGTCGCTATAGTGCACTCGCCGAGTCCGGTCAAGTTGACCGTTGACCAGCGTTGACCTAGATTGTCCTGTTATGGTATGGTTAACCCTAGTTGGGAAAGTGTTAATTAGAGATATATTGTGCTATAGGGGGACTTCAGCTCGGCAGATCGAGTGTTTAGCAATTTCAGGGTTACGGTTTACCGAGACACACGAGGTGAGTCTTCTCACTATACTTTACCTTGAGTAGGTAACCAGAGTTATGTGATAGAATATTTGTATGCGATGTATGTTATGTGTTGTACTGCATTACTTTTATGTGTTTGATGCTGTGCATGTTTACAGAGCTAGAACCGGAAGGTTCACAGAGTTAGAACCTGAGGGTTCACAGAGTTGGGTGCACGGACCCACAGAGTTATAGCCTCGAGTGGCTAATATGTGTTACATGTAGTATTTTGGGAAACTCACTAAGCCTTGTGCTTACAGTGTTGATGTTATTGTTTCAGGTACTAGTGACGACCGTGGGAAGGCGCCGGCTTGATCCGTACACACACGTTTGGAGCTTGACATTTTGATCTTGGGATTTTGCAATGTATTGTTGAACAATTTAAAAGGGGTTGTTTTTATGAACATTGATGGAACTATGTTTTTATAAAATCGAAAATTTTGTTTGAAAAATTGAGTGTTACACTTTATATAATAACCTTACAAGGAGTCCTAACCGAACTCTAAAACCAATAAAACCAATAAAATAGGAAACAATCTTAAATAAATATGAGGTGTCACTACTAGAAAAACAACCTTTTACGACGCTCATTAAAAACAGCCTTTTACGACGCTCATTGCGCGTCGTAAAAGGCTCAGACGACGCGCAAATGCGCGTCAAGGAAGGCCCTGTCATAAATAGAGACGACGCGCGTTTACGACGCGCGTTTACGACACGCAATGCGTATCACGGAAGGCCCTGTCATAAAGGAAGATGACATTCATTCGCGTGTCGTAACCTTACGATGCGTGTGTTAATGACACACAATGCGTATCAAAAAAGCCCCTGTCAAGAAAGGTCATGTCATAAATGAAGATGACACACATTGTTGCGTATCGTAAATTTAAATGTTTAAAAATAATAAATTTATATATTTATTAATTTTTAAATTAAATTTACATTTAATTTCGCATAAGAGAAATAAAATACCATATACAAAAAATACAATCCATTGCATAATATAAAACAAAATTTCATACTCAAAAAATAAAATAAATTGCACAAATTATAATGTCATACAAAGAATCATTCAAATGTTAAACAAAAATAATACATTGCTAACATGGGTTATACATTCCTATAAAAATATCAAATAATCGTACAACTCTATTTCTTACTGGAAAGGAATGCCAAACATGATTACAAGTTTGACACTTTTAGGATCAGCAGGAGCATTATCCTCACATGGTCCTACTTCTTCTAGAGTCAAATCCAAATGATATGTTAAGAATGTACGTAAAACACTTGGTTAACAAGTCATCAGGGTAGGGTAGCCAACTGTGCATGTAAGTGATAATATATATTAGGAAATAAAATCACCTTCAGAATGTAGTTTCTCCTTGTTATTACGATTATCCTTCACTCTAAACCATTCAAAGAAGAAACCTCCTTTCTCTCTGAAAGAGATCAAATAAACAAACTTTAAAACGACACAACAAAGTAGATGTGACTAATAATTTGTCATATATTGGATTTTTTTTCACTGGGTTTTTTAGTTTTCCACGTATATTCTAATGTTCAATATCCTTTATTATTTTATCTTTAAGACCATTTTCCTAACTATAACATCTTTAATGGGCTTACCCTCTGCTATAAAATGCATTGTGGGGTATCCAAATGTACTGAAAAGGACCCCAGTCCAAAATCTATAGTGAACCAGGGGAACACATGACACATCTTTAATGGGCTTGACTCCATGTCTTTTCTGTTCTAACTATCTCCAGTAGTGGCATCACGTGAGCTGGACTGTAATAATTTAATAAGGAAAAATTAAAAAAAAGTTAATATGAGTTCAAAATTGCCTATAAGATGTAGATATATGGATTTTCTCATGTAACCTGAAGAAATGTGCCCCAATAACTTGATCTTGAAATTTTATATTTTCTCCAATTAAATTGAGGTCAATGGTGGATGTGTTGGTTGCTAAAATGCAATGAGGGGGACAAATGTTTTCAATATCACTAAGTATCTTTTGCTTTAAAGGAATGTTCTCAATTACAGCATGTATTCACAAATAGAGTTGCCAAATTATGTCTTTTATAAAGTTTACATTTTATGTGTTTTTAAAGATCATACCTCTATAACCATATCTATATCTCTAAATTGTGAGTAATCCAAAACCCCATTAACATTGGACAACGCCTTTTCACCTAGGACCTGTGGTAGCTTCTTCCTTGCAGCAAATCCTTTAACATTTGCTGAAAAAGTCATCAAACATATAACCAATAAGTCACATAATAAAATGGCTACACAATATAAGAGATAACTAACTACGTTCTGCTGTTTTTATTCCCTTTTGAAGATACTCAGTGTTGATTTTGTTGAGAACAACTTTTATATTAGCAAGGATAAGGGCAATTGCTATTCCAGACCCCATTAAACCTCCACCAATCACAGCAACTTTCTTCACACTTCTTGGCTTTAGACCAACATCAGTAACTTTAGGTACCTGTAAATGTAAAATCAAAGAAAACCAAGTTTAGATTTGTAGAAATTTTGATATTTCAGAAAAAGAAAGAGAAAAATGTTTAAATTACCTTTGAGATTGCACGTTGTGCAAAGAATATATGAACAAGACCTTTCGATGTGTCTAAAACAACAAGCTCATTGAACACCTTCACCTCCCGAGGAACAAAATGTTTGCATTATTAGAAATAATTGATAAATAAGTTACTTACAAAAATGGTCCCTGTGGTTTCTGATTTAACTGCGTTTGGTCCAAAAATGAAATCTTTCTTCATTTTGGTCCTTATTTCAACGGTTCCAAGGACCAAAACCTTGAAAAAAGAATCATCATTGAAAAGGGTTTCACGTTTTGACTACACTAGGTAAGCTTTACACTAGATTCAATCATATTGTTTAATATTATTACTTATATTTGGAAGCAATTCAGGGATAAGGTGAAGTGACTGGGATAGCATTTTGACTCTCTGGTCCTCAGTCAAAGGTCCTATTTTCATTTCATGGCTGAATGATGAGAGTAAAACATTGAGCTACCAATTGATGATTGCAATATTTTGGTAGGCAACTTTACCCTTGAGCAATGGTGGATCTATGAAAGATAACAATAGTGAAATATGAATCCAAGAGAAGGATTTTATTAGCAACAATTAAGGCAAAATCTAATAAAGCAGGTTTAACTCCAGAATTAAAAGCATAAGAAATTAAATAAGGCTGAATCATCAGACCTAAATTTGCAATATTTTCTCTGTTCAAGCAATTGGTATTATGACAGTTACATCCCTGATGATCACGAGTTTTTATTTTTGTAGGTGTTCTTGGAACTATTAGAGAAGAACTATACTAAGATATGATAAAGAGCATTCTTTGCATCCGGGTGGTTGGTTTCCAAAACACCTGCTACTTTGTGGATCTTGTAATGAAGCTTCCCTGCTGCAATGAATCGTGTCAGCTCCCTGTTTCCCCCACCAAATTCAAACAATCACACACATGTTGTTAAAAAGACCAGAATACCCTCATGATACAGATAGGAACAAACTGTCCTGATCTCTCTCATGTAAAAACGGAAGTGTGGATGCAAATATCGATCCAAGTTAATATGCTTAGTGTTCCCAGCTGCAGATAAACAATATCATTATAAATTATTAAATTAAATCACAACCAAAATAACCCTCATCAACATGTAAAAGTTATAACATAAACTCACCAAAAGCAAAGAATAATGATTTGTATTGACACTCGTACAGAGAGTTCATAAATTCTGATAAAAATGGAATCTTTCCAATCACGTTCAGAATCTCTGGTGCATCCACAACCTGCATAGATTAGAGAAAAAGTTTAAAAAAATGAAAAAAAGATTTAAAAAGAAGGTAACACATTGAAAGGACTACTACATAGTACATACCATTTTGCAGCCTGTAGAAAACTCTAGATTTCCTTTTACACCTCTTCAGTTTGCAAGCTCTAAAAGGAGTGTGAATTAGTCCCTGAACATTTCAGATTCCATAAATAAAAAAGATGTAAATATTTAAGAATCATATTTTAGTTATGTAGAAATGGACAAACAAAAATAAAGATAGGATACTTACCAGATGACGACTCATGAAAGATGGCCTGTTAATCAATGAAATAGACGGAAGATATGTAATTGATTTGATTATTAGAGTATAAGAGTGCAATTAATATTGTTAATTGTCAAACTAAAATATTAACTTTCCACTCATTCTTATAGCAACATAAAGAAATTAGAAATAAACTAAGGCTAATGATTAATGAATACCTTGGTTTATAAAAAAACTAAAAAAAGGGTTCCAGTTGCAATGGCATGGCCGCATGGGAGGCGGTAGCAAGAATACCAAGATGCATGTTATGACTTGATATCACAGATGATGGCATATTGTTTAAAAGTTTCATAAGCCTCCTTACTCCAATGCGTAGCTCCCCATTTTTGATGTGTTTGCACTCAAGAACCCACATCTGACTGTTCAGATAACGAGGGCTTCCTTTTTGGAAATCAAAAACAGAAGAAGTGATATTCGAAAACTTTCAAAACAAAGACTAGTAGACTTGGACATCTTCCTTCTGAGTACAGGTTTACTCGTATACCCTTTTCTACAGATTCAACTGTTACCTGCATGCAACAGATACAACATGATCATTAGCATATACAAACAAAAACGATGGACTCAATTACAAAAATTAAAACACATGAATTGAATGTATACAGCTTAATTTGCGTGTCTTAAAGAAAAAGATGAATAACGACAAGTGATCTATGGAGCTTCATTCTTAATTACCTAATTTTCTTTCATATCTAATCTTTATACATCTTATCAGTTACACTCGTATAATTAATGAAACTTGAAACTTATAAAATAAGAATATTGATAGGGACATGAAGAATCCAACATTAATTAATGAAAATACGTATATAGTACCACGGGCCATGAATTCTGGTAGCTTGAGAAAAAGTTTCATAAACCAACTTTTTTGCACTAAAAACACACTCCATCCAGTAGTCAGCAAATGATGACGAGGTTGACCTGAAAAAATATATTCAAAATCAATCTACAGGACATCTAGAAGAAACAACACACAATGATGAAGAAGAAAGGTTCTTGTTCGTTTATTGCTTCCAGATAGGATGGGGACTTTATTTTTTAGGAGAACCGACGATAGAGGGGCGAATAGAGCCATAGGAGCCATTGTTACAACCAATCAATTTCATTCATGAAGTATTATGAGAATACTACAAGAGGCAAATGTCAATTGCAATTTCAAATGAAGTATTAAAAGATTCTAGACCAATAACCTGATAAAAGTCATCGAAGCTAGAACCAACAGAACTACCGAAGGTATTATTAACACGAACAGGGACATGATATAATGTGACATAGCTTCACCTCGAGGTCCTCCTGTACCCATTTCTCCAGAATAATCTGAAAACTAGTTGCCCATCATTCTCGCCTAAACCAACATCCAATTTTTTTTTCATACCACTAACTTCACTCCAACTCATTAAAAAAAAATTACAATTATTACCTGATAGACTTGATGCATTCTAAAGTTAACAATTCCATCCATTTCATCAATCTGACTGACAAAATTTGTGGGCCCGGTGTCTTGAATAGGACCATCAGTAGCAGGTGTAACCTTATGCAGATTGAGTGCAAGCAAGTCTGGCCTTTGGAGTAAAAGCTGAAAAGTGGGCTGCAGTTCATAACATTGCTCAAATAGTGACCTCCTACAAAACACATAAAGTCCCAATCGAGCATGGACATTGCAACAATCAGTCTTCTAACATCACGAAGGTGCCCCACAAATTGTGTCCTCACAAGAGACAAAAGAATAAAATCATTTTGTTGACCTTGAAACTTGTCAACCGTTGCAACCAGAAGAAAAAAACTTATAAACACTATCAAAGGGAAAATAATAGCATAATTTATGTCCTAAACTATCCTTGTGTGGAAGGCCAATGAAATCATAAGGAGCACATATTCTATTAAGAACATCGCATATGGGATTTTCTAAAGGAAGTTTAGAATGTGAAATTCAATTTTGAACAAAGAAATAACACACCTGCAACATGGAACGCCAGATGCAACAACATGTTCAAGTGATAGAAGGTTAGTGAATGGCAAGACCAATTTCAAGAAGCTTTATGAAATTTTCAAATTTGCAACAGCAGGAGCTTTATGAAATTTTCAGATTTGTAAATTCTAATTTCTAATTCTAATATTCCAATTTCAAGAAGAGCTGAATCCAAGAGATTGAGAGAACGGGAGAACAGGAGAAGAAAATACCTGATTTCCGATGACAGCTGATGCGGTAGTGAATGGCGAGACAAACGGGCAGCGACTGAGCAAGGTAAGGAGGTAGTGACTAGCGACGATGGGGGAGGAACTGGGTAACAACGTAAGATAAATATCGATTTTGACTTACTGTCGCTAGGTTTGGAAATCAGACTGAAATCGGGAGGGGCACAACCCAATTTCTACACTAACAGGCCTATAATTAAAATTTTTGAAGATATATTTGCTATTTCTAACCCAAATATCGGGGGGGGGGGGGGCAAAGCCCCTCCTGGCCCTATACATAATCCGCCCATGCTATGACCATTAGCAATCATATGGATCACATCTGATTAGTAATTAGCGAATAATATCTCTAATTGAAGCTTTATCTGATTGTAGAGGCAAATTGGAAGTTTCACGTGATAGGAAACCAGATTAAAAAAAGCAATCGAGAATTCAACACATACAGGACCAAGAACAGTACCTATTGAATTTATGAGGCGACCTACTCCTTGCTGAAGCATAACCGATCCATTCTCATCAGAAAAAAGGATATACATAGCAAGGCCAAGTACACCTTAATGAATGATTTGATTTTTAAGAGACAAACCGATTGGAGTGGAATCATAGATTGGGGAGTGGATACTGTTCTAAGGTCTTTATTTTAGGAACGAACAAGGAGGTGATGGTGCAAATCGATGACCACCAATCAAAGCCTTCGTAGAGCTCGATTGGAGTGGAATCAGAGATTAGGGAGTGGAAGAAGAGAGGATCAGAGAAGTTCGAAGTGTGAATTGAGTTTTTAGGGTTCAATTTCAAGTCAATTAGTAAAGAGTCCAAAATGATTACACCTCCTTGTACCTCACCCAATAATCGAAACCATAGAAATTCTTGAATTCTGTATGAATAAGCGATGAAGATGCGAACTTGTGGGAAGTGAAGCGGTGGAGGTTTGAGAATCGAGAGAGAAAAAAGAAAGAAAGGGGGTTTTCAGCGGGGATGAGTTAGGGTTTTCAGCCAGTGGAAACAAAGCGGGCTTTTTAAATTTTGGAATTCATTTCCCCCTTGGATGAAACGCGTGTTTCATTAAAGATTATAAAGCGACATAGCTAGACGACGCACATTTTATTTAAGGTGCCCTCCGTGTTTTTTTATTAGACACCAAATTTTGGGCACGCAAAAATGCGTGTCCACTATGCTTCATATTTTGGAAATCTGACATCAATTTTTAGGGCAGACACATATGCGTGTCCTCTATTAGCGCGTGTCATTGATTGCGCGTCGTAAAAGGCTGTTTTTCTAGTAGTGTGTTATAATCAAATAATAACTCCTACATATAATACTAAACAATTAATAAAAGGGTTTCGAAACATATTCAACAAACTCCCCCTTGAGACGAAACGAATCATCAACAAAAGAATCTTCAAACTTCATACACTACAAGAATAACTAGTAATAGCAAAAACATCTTTAGCGGCGACAGTGACTTTTAATGGAGACAAAAAACGAACGCTTTTTTTGTTGTCGCTAAAAGTATCCGTCGCCGCTAATGGCATCACCACTAAAGGCTTTTGTTGGCGATTCGCGTCATTTCAATCCCATCCGTTGATTTAAGAGATGATCCTACGACTAGGATGACAGAAGAAATCCCGCGTCGTTTACTCTTCGGTGTATCACTGCTAAAGAGTGCGTGTCGCCGCTAATACCTTTAGCGACAATGGAAAGCAATAGCGTCGACAACGAAGCATCAGCTACGAACCAACAACAACGACCCATTAGCGGCGACATGTTGGTCCTTTAGCGGTGATGTATATCGCCACTAAAGATCAAAATTCTTGTAGTGATAAGACATAAGTAAAAAAATAAGTAGTGTCAAAAGTTGCTTTGGTCTAAACTCTCTCAAACGATTTAGACAGCAAATTGGTAAAAGATCAAATCACCAAAACGGAAGTGGATACGAACATTCATACTTAACGCAAGTACTTCGAAAATACCTTAAAGGTATTATAAACATATCAAATACAATTCTGCCGATGCCAACTCGCTTGTGCCAAAATGGTCTTCATGTCATAGTAATAACATGCCTGAATACACTCGCGGACTAAAATGGGTATCTTACTAATATAAGACTCTATCCAAATTAGAGATGAGATAAAAGGAAGTAAAACTTCTAACCAAATCTTTTATGACTTAAATGTCTTTCGACCAAAATTTTGCCTAACGGCTAAAATACCTCACGGTATCATAATGCTTGAAAAAAAATACTCTATAGTGTTAAAATCCTGAAAATATCTTACTATATTAAATGCTTGAAAATACCTTACGGTATTAAATTATTGAAAATATATTGTGATATTAAATTCTTGAAAAAACCTTGAGGTATTAAAGTCTTGAAAATACCTTGCGGTATTAAATTCTTGAAAAAAACCTTGCAGATTAAAGTCTTGAAAATACCTTACGGTGTTAATTTATTGAAAATACGTTGTGGTATTATAATGCTTGCCGAATGACCTTTATATTTTTCTTCAATGGACGATTGATGGGATCTCGGGATTCCAACACTACAAAAAATCAAAAAGCCTCTAAAAATCGACAGTAGAAAAGTCAATAACCTGAAACACCAAAAGAGTTCAATCCAATATGAAGTCAGGTTACTTGTGGATGATTCCAAACATCATTCTTCTCCAAAATAATCCAACAAATCATAATAATCTGCTTGAGCTAAAAAAGCTCTCATCTTTACATTCCAAACTGACAATTTAGTGTCACAATCCAAGAGCGGAATAGCATACTTGATAGTAGCCATAAAAAACGATTTTAAAGTAACCTTTAAAAGAAGGTTAAGGGGAAAATCAATTTATAAAGGCTGAAAAAAAAAACTACAAGAGTTTCAAAAAATTGATTTATGAAGGTAGGATAATTAATCAAATTAAAAAGTCAAAAATTGATTTATGATGAAATGGGGGAAAATCAGTTTATGAGGTTGGATTATTTGGCAAAGGAAATAATATAATGACTAGCTTGATAGTACCCCAAAAACATACGATTTTAGGCTTTATAGAAAGATGAAGTTGCTTCTATTTGGGAAAAGATATTGCTGATTTTGGGTTAGGGAAAACAAAAAAAACATGGCTGTAATTGGCTGGAAAAAGAAGTAAAATTAAAATAGTTGTAATATGGCCTAAGAACAAATTGAATACATGGTTGTGATTTGAAGCAAAGGAGGAATAATTTGCGTAGCCTGGTAAATAGGAGTAGGATAACGGGCTGATAACTGGGTTTAACAAAAAAAGATTGACCTTCGAAGAAAAACGTAAGAAAAAGACGAATCATTTTCTAAGGTTCAAGAAAAAACAACCACATTTGTGGTTTTAGTTGTAATATTCAAAAGAGTAATATAAAAACCCACTTCACGGAATTCATGAAGAATTGATAATGTGAAGAGTATAAATCGCTCACCAATGAAAAGCTGTAAAGATTAGCAAACAAGGTTGATCACTTCAAAATGGTTAGGGAACTCGATCAACTCGAAATAGTCAAGGAAACGATCAACACGTAACGAAAAGAAAACTTGAGCAAGTCGTAACCGATAAAGTCAATCACCAACGAAAGAATAAATGACCAAGAAACTCAATCACCAATTGAATTCAGATTTTTAAACGAGCTCTGATACCACTTGTTATAAAAAGAGCAACGTTGAAAAATTACAAAGGTAAACAGAAGCAATAAAGAACACCAACAATTTAGAGTGGAAAACCAAACATGAAAAACCACTATCAAAACGACACTCTTATTAAAAGATTACATTGCAAATAAATCTCCAAGGAATAAAGGGGAGAAAGATGACATTGGAATGAATCAAATAAAACATCTAGATGACTGCATATAATAGCCTTACAAAGAGTACTCACCAAACTCTAAAACATGTAAAATAAGAAACATCCGTAAATAAATGAGGTGTTATAATCAAATAATAACTCCTAATATAATATAAAACAATTAATAAAAGGGTTTCCGAACATATTCAACACCACTAACAGACACAAGGAGGGAGAGAGAGAAATCAAGAGAGCAACATGGGTGCTTTATCTCTTTTGAGTAGAGAGGGAGTAACACTAACATGGATAGGCGTGGATAAATTCAAAGAGAAGGCAAATCAGGGTAGCGATGATGCAAAATAGAAGGCCAAGCAGTCATCTTCTAATGCTTTGAAACTTTCATGAAAGTCTTTATTCTTAATGAATATGACAACCAATTAATGTGTCACCATGTTTTTGTGAAATATGATTTCTCTAGTTATTCTTATTTTTTTAATTAATCACTAACACAATTTACCTTTAGAAGATGAATTGACACTCAATGAAGGTTAAATGGGAACCTCATCGAGGTATAATAGATGACATGAGTCTCTTTCTATATCTTTAGTATCAGATCATGACCTCTTCTTTCTTAGTGTAGCCAATTTTGGTGGATAGTATGTTCCTTATATAGTGTGACATATCTGGGGTTACACCATGTAAACCCTAATGTGCCATGACTCTTCATTTCCATGACCCATGGGTTTGTAACTCACATGGAGCATCCATGGAGCATCCTATGGGTTTAACCCAACTTGATAATCCATGGAGCCTCTTAGCCCAATATACAAGTTATGGATGATTTACACAATCAATCCATATATTTAATTAGTTATCTTTTGATCACTTAATTAATTCTAAATTAATTCTTGATCAAACTAATTAAATAATGCTATTAATATATTAGAACTTATAATATATTAAATAAACCAGAAGTGTTATTTCTCTTATTTAGTCTATCCAATTGCATGGTGCCATGCAACCCAAATGGACCATGCCGGGTCGGATCAAGTACATACCATAAATAGTTATGGACTTAGACACCTTATCCAACAATAGTGACACCAACTTTCAAACTAACAGAGATAATTTTCTCTCTCAGTTGGAGATCTTGGAGTTGTACCAACTATAAAGTAGGCAATATGACTGAAGAACTTCATCGGAGACCTTGGAGTAGTACTAGCTATAAAGGAGCCTATGGAGATTTTCTGTGACAACGAGAGTGCGGTTGACTTGGCTAAGGAACCAAGGGATCATGGTAGATTCAGGCACATCAATAGAAAAGATCACTTCATAAGACACCAGATAGAAGAAGGACTACTCGTAGCAAAAAGAGTATCGTCAGAGGAGAACCCAACAGATCCCCTCACGAAGGGACTGAGCAGGATTAAGCACTTACAACATGCAAGGCGCATCGGGCTGAAGGACGATATTACTTTTAATGATTAGATAGTTTTTGAAACTTGTAATAGATAAATTGTAATCGACATTTGATGATTAAATAAAAGGTGTTTTATTTATAAGTATAATTACTGTCTTGTGTCAATTAGTTAATATTGTTTCACTTTACATATTTTGACTTCCAGAATAATTAATATATTCAAAATATCCACAGTCAATCATACTTTGGAAGTAGGTATTAAGGCAAGACTGTCATGAATTTGGCTTGTAGATGTCTGAATTGTTTAGACATGGCAAAGGATTGCTACAACATTCATGAGTGCTCATAAGGTCTGAGTATTGGATTAAACTCACACTCACATGAATCACTTTATGGAATTTATCACGAGTAATGGTGAGACATAATATCATATAGTCTTCAAACTAAGAGATATGAGTTGTTGACTATGAGTTGTTTGTACATTGATAATGCGAAACTGCATTAGTAACTTGATGCTATAAAATGTGTTATTGTGTACAATTTAACGAGTAGTTAGTACAAGCGTATGAGTTGAAGTTTATCTGTTCCTTTTAGTCCTTGGAGGATTAAAAGCGATATCTTGGTCCCCTCGATGTTTTTTTTTTTTGACTTATGTGGCAGGCCCGGTCAGAACTCAATACATGTGTTCGATTAAGTTCTATGTCAAACAAATCAGAAACTGGGAAACAAATGCTGGACAATAAGAATGACTATTTTCCATGTATTTGTCCGACTGATATATTGAGAATAGAGGATTATATGATCCCTTATCTAAATGGCGTGTCACAGTTTGACAAAGGCTTTTAAGAGCTACGATTGCTAGTCGGTTCCTGAAGTTGTACTTGCAACTATAGTTATTAGACTTTTACAAGTGGGAGACTGTTAGATAAGGTGACTTAGTCCATAACTATAATTGGTATGTACTTTACCCGAAAATAGCATGGTCCATTTGGGTTGCATTTCACCAAAACAATTTGAAAGATTGGACTTTTTAGAAGAGGTTATTTATGATTTATTAATATATTATAAGTTCTAATATATTAATATGAAATCATATTATTTACTTAGTATCGATCAAGAATTAATTTAGTGATCAAAAGAGACTAATTAAATGTATGGGGATTGATTTGGTAAATTAATGATTCTTATAGTGTGGGCTTATGATTATTTAGGATGGGCTAAACCAATATGGTAGTCCATGGATAGTCCATGGAGGTTTAACTCATGGATCCTAAGTAAATATTAAAGGTCATGGTGCATTAGGGTTTGCATAGATGTAAACCTAGTTTTTCCACACTATAAAAGAAGTCCCTAAGCATCCAAAATCGGCACCAAGTATTCATAAGAAGATTCATAGTCGATTTTGTGACAAGAAAGTCTCTCTTAAGTCCTCCATTGTTTGTGGTGTTTTGTGAAGTATTTGAGGCATCACATTTGGGGTGCTAGACTCTTAAAGGTTCAAGTTAACAAGCTACTGATGGGTTTTGAGCACTCTAACA